AGATTTCAAGAGTTTCAAGGACTTCAACAGTTTCAAGGACTTCAGCAGTTTCAAGGACTTCAGCAGTTTCAAGGATTCAACAGTTTCAAGGATTCAACAGTTTCAAGGACTTCAGCAGTTTCAAGATTTCAAGAGTTTCAAGGACTTCAACAGTTTCAAGGATTCAACAGTTTCAAGGACTTCAGCAGTTTCAAGATTTCAAGAGTTTCAAGGACTTCAACAGTTTCAAGGACTTCAACAGTTTCAAGGACTTCAACAGTTTCAAGGACTTCAACAGTTTCAAGGACTTCAACAGTTTCAAGGACTTCAACAGTTTCAAGGACTTCAACAGTTTCAAGGACTTCAGCAGTTTCAAGATTTCAAGAGTTTCAAGGACTTCAACAGTTTCAAGGACTTCAGCAGTTTCAAGGACTTCAGCAGTTTCAAGGACTTCAGCAGTTTCAAGGACTTCAGCAGTTTCAAGGACTTCAGCAGTTTCAAGGACTTCAGCAGTTTCAAGGACTTCAGCAGTTTCAAGGACTTCAGCAGTTTCAAGGACTTCAGCAGTTTCAAGGTTTCCACAGTTTCAAGGTTTCAACAGTTTCAAGTGTCAAGTAAAACCATCACCTGACCACAAAATGAAAGCAGTGCCACGGCACAAAGGACACAAAGGGCTGTTGAAGCAACTGGCAGGCCTCAGACAGTATGCGGCCGGAAAACAGGAAGTGGAGGAGAGCAGCTCACAGCTTGACGAGCAGCCGTACAGAAGCTCAGATGAGGCATCGGAGCATGGGAGAGAGTGGAGTGGGGAATTCACGGAGGTGACCCCCCCACGCCTGCCAGATATGATCTCATTGCCAACGAAACTGGAACAGGTCTCACAAACACCTCGAATTCTTGAGGAGCGTTTGAAGGAGGCACATAAATCTGTACGAAGTAAAGAAACAATGGGGCTAAAAAGCCTCCTTGAAAATGTGATACCATCTAGAGGGGCAACACAGGGGCCTGGGAGGAACAGACCCACCCCTGTCCCACGATCCTGTGAGATTCATGAAGAAGAATGGCTGCCTGAACTGGAAAAAATGCCGAGGGGCACAGTTAAGTGGAAAGATCCGGCAGGGCGTGTAATGTACAGATATGTCGGTGACATATTTGACATTGACGGACACTGTCTTGTAGTCATGGTGGACTCCGACATGAACTCACTGAATGAACAATTTCAGAGAAGACTAATTAAAAACGCTGGACGGGAGTACCAGGCAGAGTGGCAGAGAAAGCAGGCTGAAATCAGTGGAACTGATTCAGATGACGCAATGTTGATAAATGGAGGACAGACAAGGTTCTACGCAATCCTCCATTTTCCTTGTGTGAAATACAAGGAGGGTGACGATGAGGAACGGTATCGAGAAGTTCTAATAAAAAGTATATTAGAATCTCTGTACTATGCAAATGAACTCGAATTAAAAAGAGTTGTGATTGGCGTAGAGGCAGTCCAGTCCAAGAGACTGGATTGGCGGATCGCAGAAGAAGCAATCGTCCATGCCAGTCGTCAATATCTGACAGAGATGGTCCTATGGACCGGAGTGAATGAAATAGTATTATTAGGGAGAAGGTAAGGATGTAGATAGATAGTAGGGAGAAGGGTAAGGATGTAGAGAGATAGTGGTAACTCCCAAAAGCATGGACATAGGAGAAGGGTAAGGATGTAGAGAGATAGTAGGGGAGAAGGGTAAGGATTAGAGAGATAGTAGGGAGAAGGGTAAGGATTAGAGAGATAGTAGGGAGAAGGTAAGGATTAGAGAGATAGTAGGAGAAGGGTAAGGATTAGAGAGATAGTAGGGGAGAAGGGTAAGGATGTAGAGAGATAGTAGGGAGAAGGGTAAGATTAGAGAGATAGTAGGGGAGAAGGGTAAGGATGTAGAGAGATAGTAGGGAGAAGGGTAAGGATTAGAGAGATAGTAGGAAGAAGGGTAAGGATTAGAGAGATAGTAGGGAGAAGGGTAAGGATGTAGAGAGATAGTAGGGAAAGGGTAAGGATTAGAGAGATAGTAGGAGAAGGGTAAGGATTAGAGAGATAGTAGGGAGAAGGGTAAGGATTAGAGAGATAGTAGGGAGAAGGTAAGGATTAGAGAGATAGTAGGGAGAAGGGTAAGGATGTAGAGAGATAGTAGGGAGAAGGGTAAGGATTAGAGAGATAGTAGGGAGAAGGGTAAGATGTAGAGAGATAGTAGGGAGAAGGGTAAGGATGTAGAGAGATAGTAGGGAGAAGGGTAAGGATTAGAGAGATAGTAGGAGAAGGGTAAGGATTAGAGAGATAGTAGGGAGAAGGGTAAGGATTAGAGAGATAGTAGGAGAAGGGTAAGGATTAGAGAGATAGTAGGGGAGAAGGGTAAGGATTAGAGAGATAGTAGGGAGAAGGGTAAGGATTAGAGAGATAGTAGGGAGAAGGGTAAGGATTAGAGAGATAGTAGGGAGAAGGGTAAGGATTAGAGAGATAGTAGGGAGAAGGGTAAGGATGTAGAGAGATAGTAGGAGAAGGGTAAGGATTAGAGAGATAGTAGGGAGAAGGGTAAGGATTAGAGAGATAGTAGGAGAAGGGTAAGGATTAGAGAGATAGTAGGGAGAAGGGTAAGATGTAGAGAGATAGTAGGGAGAAGGGTAAGGATGTAGAGAGATAGTAGGAGAAGGGTAGGATTAGAGAGATAGTAGGGAGAAGGGTAAGGATGTAGAGAGATAGTAGGGAGAAGGGTAAGGATTAGAGAGATAGTAGGGAGAAGGGTAAGGATGTAGAGAGATATAGAGAGAAGGGTAAGATTAGAGAGATATAGGAGAAGGGTAAGGATTAGAGAGATAGTAGGGAGGAAGGGTAAGGATTAGAGATAGTAGGGAGAAGGGTAAGATTAGAGAGATAGTAGGGAGAAGGGTAAGGATTAGAGAGATAGTAGGGAGAAGGGTAAGGATGTAGAGAGATAGTAGGGAGAAGGGTAAGGATGTAGAGAGATAGTAGGGAGAAGGGTAAGGATTAGAGAGATAGTAGGGAGAAGGGTAAGGATGTAGAGAGATAGTAGGGAGAAGGGTAAGGATGTAGAGAGATAGTAGGGAGGAGAGGTAAGGATAAGATAGATAGTAGGAGAAGGGTAAGGATTAGAGAGATAGTAGGAGAAGGGTAAGGATTAGAGAGATAGTAGGGAGAAGGGTAAGGATGTAGAGAGATAGTAGGAGAAGGGTAAGGATTAGAGAGATAGTAGGAGAAGGGTAAGGATTAGAGAGATAGTAGGAAGGGTAAGGATTAGAGAGATAGTAGGGAAGAAGGATGTAAGAGATGTAGAGAGATAGTAGGGACCCACACCATGGGTCTCCTCTGGTGTGGTATATGTGTACCATGGGTCTCCTCTGGTGTGGTATATGTGTACCATGGGTCTCCTCTGGTGTGGTATATCTGTACCATGGGTCTCCTCTGGTGTGGTTTATCTGTACCATGGGTCTCCCCTGGTGTGGTATATCTGTACCATGGGTCTCCTCTGGTGTGGTGTATCTGTACCATGGGTCTCCTCTGGTGTGGTATATCTGTACCATGGGTCTCCTCTGGTGTGGTATATCTGTACCATGGGTCTCCCCTGGTGTGGTATATCTGTACCATGGGTCTCCTCTGGTGTGGTATATCTGTACCATGGGTCTCCAGCTCTTTCTAGCCATTGGTAGGCTTGTCCTCCCATGATGGGTCTCCTCCAGCACCTCCTCATGTAGGGGCTTGTCCTCCCATGATGGGTCTCCTCCAGCACCTCCTCATGTAGGGGCTTGTCCTCCCATGATGGGCCTCCTCCAGCACCTCCTCATGTAGGGGCTTGTCCTCCCATGATGGGCTCTCCTCCAGCACCTCCTCATGTAGGGGCTTGTCCTCCCATGATGGCTCTCCTCCAGCACCTCCTCATGTAGGGGCTTGTCCTCCCATGATGGGCTCTCCTCCAGCACCTCCTCATGTAGGGGCTTGTCCTCCCATGATGGGCTCTCCTCCAGCACCTCCTCATGTAGGGGCTTGTCCTCCCATGATGGGCTCTCCTCCAGCACCTCCTCATGTAGGGGCTTGTCCTCCCATGATGGCTCTCCTCCAGCACCTCCTCATGTAGGGGCTTGTCCTCCCATGATGGGCTCTCCTCCAGCACCTCCTCATATAGGGGCTTGTCCTCCCATGATGGCTCTCCTCCAGCACCTCCTCATGTAGGGGCTTGTCCTCCCATGATGGGCTCTCCTCCAGCACCTCCTCATATAGGGGCTTGTCCTCCCATGATGGCTCTCCTCCAGCACCTCCTCATGTAGGGGCTTGTCCTCCCATGATGGCTCTCCTCCAGCACCTCCTCATGTAGGGGCTTGTCCTCCCATGATGGGCTCTCCTCCAGCACCTCCTCATATAGGGGCTTGTCCTCCCATGATGGCTCTCCTCCAGCACCTCCTCATGTAGGGGCTTGTCCTCCCATGATGGGCTCTCCTCCAGCACCTCCTCATATAGGGGCTTGTCCTCCCATGATGGGCTCTCCTCCAGCACCTCCTCATCTTGCCACTGTCTGAGACATTCACTGAGTACATCATCATTCCGTGGGAGGTGAGGATTTTTTTCTTCTCACTAGTATATATACACGTATATATATATATATATATATATATGTATATATATATATATATATATATATATATATTCTTCTCTCTCGTCCTCTCAGGTCTCTGTCTACTCTCTTGTCTGCTCAGAGCCCTTTGGATCCACAGGTGCCTGAGTTCTCTCTCCTCCTCACTTCTCCCATTGGATTCACAGGTCTCTCCCTCTTCTCTCTCGTCCTCTCAGGTTTCTGTCTTCTCTCTCGTCCTCTCAGGTCTCTCTCGTCCTCTCAGGTCTCTCTCGTCCTCTCAGGTCTATCTCAACACCAATAAAGAAAGAACTGAATAAAACGTTTCACCGTTACATTGATTATAAGTGTCGTTAGCGAAACGTCCCGTCTTAGAAACGCTTTTCTCCTTTTATTGTGGTAATGACCGGATCCGCGGTAACTCTGGTGATCAATTATCCCACAGAGAGGGGGGGGGGGGGGGGTGAGGGGGGGGGGTGCCCAGGAGAGGGGCCAAAGCAGTGGGCACAGGACAACAGATACCCCCCTCCTCCCTCCACCCATAGAGCTGTTTCTGTGAGGCTGAATGGGGCAGAGCGAGCTGAGGTCCAGGTCCAGGTCTGGTCCAGTTCTGGTCCGGTTCTGAAAAAGCACAGACAAAGGCGAAGGCGGCATGTGAAGCCAGGACCCAGAGAGTCCAGACCGCTGCGGAGAAACCACCTCCACGCCAGGAAAG